CGGGCGGTGCCAGCTCTGCCCCAGCCCCTGTGCCCTCCCCCGGCTCCGTCTGCCTTGGCACGGTGTCGGGCTCCATCTGCCTTCCAGCGCCGGCAGCGTGTGCTCTCATCGCTCCCGTCCGGCACTCCTGGACACGCTGCCCGGGGTGGGAGCAGCGCCCGGAGCTGCCCAGCACTGACATCCCGCCCGGGCTGCCCCAGGGACCCCTAGGCACCAGCTCCGGCCTCCCAACAACCCCTCCCAACGCGTTTTCTCTTTATATCCAGCCTAAATCCACTCTTCCAGTTTCAAACCGTCACCTCTTCTGGCTTGACACATCCTCCAAGGCCTCTCAAGTATTGCCAGGATGCCACGAGGTCTTGCCCGGGCTGGACAGCCCCAGCTCTCCTAGCGAGGAGAAGGGAGAGGAAGAGGGAGTTGAAGAACTTCTCCCAGCTACCTCATGAAGAACAGGAGAGGTTCTTCCAGCCCCCTGACCATTTCCATGGATCTGCTGTGACCCATCCGGGTCTGCCCTGTGCTGGGATCCCTGTGCTGGAGCTGTGTGTTCTCCAGCTGTGCTCCAGGATTCCAGGGAGAATCATCTCCCTGGCTCTCCTGCCACTCCCCTGTGCCTCCAGACCCTGTTTCCAGGGACTCCTCTCTGCCCCAAACCTCAGTGCTTGGGAATATTCCTGCCTATGCCTCCACCAATGGCCCTGCCACCCTGAGTCATGTCTTGGCGACTTCCTCACATATCCCAGTCCAACCGGTCTGGCCAGGCCGGTGCTGGTGACACAGTTTCGCGTGGCCACTTGGGCCACCAGTGGTAATTGGCATCCTGGAGAGCCACAGGCACGTCAGGCACCTCTCCAGCTCCCTGCAGGAACCTGGTGGAACCGTAGCAGGGTATGAGCTGACACCCAGAGGTGACCACGGGGACCTTCGCCAGCGGCTGGCTGACCCTCTGCCACCACTCCCAGGACCCATCTCCAGTGTGGGGACCAGAAGACCAGGAGGGCAGGCAGAGAGCACCAGGCACAGCTCCACTCCCAGGGCTTGGTCCCTGCTGGTGGTGCCAGGAGAGTGGCACAAGCTCTGGGGTGCTGGTGTGACCCATCCCAGCTCTTCTGGGCAGCAGCATCGGGGATGGCACATTTTTGGTTCGGATGAGGAGCAGCTGCACTGGTTGCCATGGCAATGTGAGATGCTCTCCTCCAGACAGGGACAATATTTGGGAAGATTTGCTAAAAATACTTCCCAACTCAGCGGTGCCAATGCCACACGTGTCACATCTCTTCTCCCCTCAGGGCTCAGCTTGGGGCAGTGCTGTCCTCGCTGGTCTGCAGAGCTGCCCTGGTCCCTCACCCCGGGTGGGTGGGGATGGGCACAGAGGTCCTGGGGTCCCAAGCATATGTACCAGTGCCACCAGCACCACTCCCTCCCAGTTCAGCCAGCCCAGGGGCTGAACAGGGAGCCAGGGACAGCTGGTGACAGTTCCCACACCAAGAGACTGGGAAGCTCCCTAGGGAGGGACCTGCAGGCCCAGGAGTGCTGCTGGGAAAGGTAAACGATTCCTTGGAGCTTAAATAGGTTTAAAAATTACTTTTTTATGATTTTGCTGCTTTTCCTAATACCATTACAGCCTTCTCCATGGCAACTGGGGGAGACTTTGGTCCCGGCCAGGGAGATTAGCTGCTGGAGCTGAAATGATGGGGGATCCAACGGGGAGGTCTGTGGTGGGAAGAGGAAACTCATGGTAGGGACCCAAATCGAGGTCCCCACGGTGGCTGTGGTGCTGTGGTGGGTGAGGGGCCTGGTGTGCAGGACAGGCTGAAGGGACCAACACCCACAGGGTCCCAACTTCTC